CTGTGGAATGATGGAATCAGCGATTAATGGATAGATATTTTATTATTTTCCTGCGATAGCTAATTCTGTGGAATCACCCATGAGCCTTACGGCTTGCTCACACTAAATCTCCAAAACTGTGTTGAAGAGCGAACGGAATGCAAGACACACAGCATCATGACCCAGTCTTTTGACCCCGATAGCGAGCAATAATCAGACGACCACTTTTGCTGGATGCCCCTGACCGCAATTACAGTCAAATTCATTCCAAGGTAGTTGTAGTCTGAGTATGCCCTGACCCTATTTGCTGCTTGTTTGAAGCAGCCAACAGGATTAAGGCAGGAATGTCTGAAACTTGGTACAATGATTCAATCTAATTTAATCTGGTGCATGTTCGACGGACTGCATTAATTCAATGTAATAATTGTAATTTAATTTATTGATTTAATTTTATTTATTTGATGTAATTTGAATTAAATTTGATTTAATTTGATTTAATTTGATGTAATTTGATTTGATTTGATTTGATTTAACAATTTTAAACTTAATTTACCGCATGTTCGATGGACTTCAGTCGGTCTTCTAACTTCTTCTGATGGACCTGCCTCGCCGTATAACCTGCATCAACAGTTGGAGATAAATTAATCTGTAGAAGAAAAGTGGAGAAGAAAAGTGGATTTTTTATTTCGCATCTGTATCAACACACTACCATTTACACATTCGGGAAAAAAAAAAAAAAAAAAAAAAAAGGTAGCATCATAATCACACAGATGCGCAATTCCACTCCATGCTGCAAGGAATCACATACCGAGTGCTCACAATTCGACACCAAACATGAACAATCACAATGCTCAATGATTGACAACAATCCAAACATCGCACTGCAATCAGACTCGTTTTCAAACACACTTTTCACACATGTAAACAGTAACGCAGCACCTGTCTCTTATACACATCTAGATGTGTATAAGAGACAGGGCAAGGACTTATTGTGTGTCCCACGAGACCGTCGTCTTCGGACTCGCCTTCTCGGCGAGTACCACGACTCGCGACTCGCCGGCCATTTCGGAGTCAATCGCACTATTGCACGA